AGGAAATCTTATTAATTGTAATCGGTGGAAAATTTTCAAACCAGTCTGATTCAGTTGGTTTGTTGAGTCATTTTCAATCGTTTAACACGAGTGGCTTCAAAAAGAACATTCATTTACTTTTTTTTATACTCAGGTTTTTACAAGTTTCCAAGAAGAAATATCACATTATAGATGTTTGTATGTAATAGGTTTCTCAACAATGAATATATGATGGTTCTCTGTATAGGACAAAAAAAGAATCATTTACTCAATCGTGAATTGCTAAAATCCAAATCTTGAATTTTTCCACTCACAAGAGAACTTCTCCCGATGTCAGATCGTTTTTTTGAACGAGACGATGTTCATTGGATGAGTAATAGAAATATCTGAAATGGTTTGGTTCTCTCGATCTTCGTTCTTGAGATATTGAAACTTGACTGGATTTTTCAACTAAAAGCTGTAGTCAAATGAAAAATTGCCTTTCGAGTTTCGACTTCAAGCTTCACACGAGCAAAGTTCTCGATGAGATCAGTTCATTGGGTAAGTTGTAACTTTTCTAGTATCTCTTATTCTTAGTTATGAAATATTCGAAATAAAAGAAAAGTTCAAAGTTGAAAGACGATTTTTCACGTGGTCATAGCTTTTTGTTCAAAAATCAAGTAAAATTTTGATATCTCAAGAACCAAAGGCTCGAAAAATCAAACTATTTTAGACTTTTCTAATACTCACTAGTATTCATCAAATAAACATCGTCTTGGTCAAAGAGCGATTTCACACATTGATAGGTTTCCTCGTCAGATTTCTCAGACAAACCTAATGTACTTCTTCGAGCAACAGTCTACACCTAAATCTGATCTTTAGAGAAACATCTATGAAATATAGTTCAATTAATGAAATAAAACTGTTTGATTATTTTAATAAAAGTGCTCCAACTTGCTCTTCATATGTTTCATCAGAGAAAAATGGCATATTAATAAAATTTCTTTCAATCGCTTACAACTCTGGAATTGATTCCTTAGTGCACGAATCATTTTTACTTTTATTTCATTGAAACAATCTATTTTGCATATCATTCTTTTCTTTGTTGTTTTTATTTCAGTATAAAACCAGATAATTTCACAATGGGTATTAATTCGAAATGTCAAAATGTTTATTTAATTGATTTTGGTTTATCAAAATATTATTTAAATAAAAAAACGCGTCAACATATTGAATATAATGATAATAAACATTTTTTAGGTACAATACGTTATGCTAGTCTACGTACACATGCTGGAATTGAACAATCACGTCGTGATGATTTAGAATCATTTGCATATACATTAATTTATTTAGCACGTTCAAATAAATCTTTACCATGGCAAGGTATTAAATGTAATACAAAAAGAGAAAAACAAGAAAAAATTTATGAAATTAAACTTCATA